AATGATTACACATACTCCCGATATGCACTCCTTCAGCACCAGTGTTGTTGTGACAGTACTCAGTACGTCTGCTGCTGCTGCTGCTGTTAGTCTGTTTTTAATTCCCAGCAAACAGAATCATTTCAGTTTCTAGCTGATGTGTGGTGGCCGACGCACTTGTGCATGACCAGGGGATGTGAACGATTCGTTCTTCACCACGCTGAGCCGCATCAGCGAGATACATGGCAACTGCAAGGAGCTGCTGAGGACACACCACCAAAGAGCAGGCCTTGAGCTTATGGACACCATGTCCAGCTATCAGGAAACAGCATTCAAACGTCTTTGCAGGTGCAGCTCAAATGGTCCCGTCACATTACATAGATAGGTTGGTTGGTTGCAGGTCACGTTCTGTGGGCTATTTGCATTTCAATTGTAACTTGCAGCACATGTGCAAAAGAGACATATTGAGCTTTGTCGTATTTTGTCCTGTGTTGCATGGCTTGTTGTGCTTTGCGATGGTAACCCAGAGCGTGCATGGCACTATGTGCCGTAGGCTTTCTAATCGCTGGAACGAGTCTCAGCCATGGAGTGCCCATCGAAATCAGCCACACAGAAGTGGTTGCAGCTCGTCGCAGTTTGTGCGAGCAGCTGCTTGTCTGCAAAACCAATGTTGCTGCAATTTCCTATGTTGAGCTTTACAGCTGTGCTGCATTAATAGCAAAGAAAGGGTCGTACAAGTAGGGAATCGAAGTTATTAGCAAACGAACAGGTCATACCGCACATGCCAGCCTATTCCCACCAGCAGGACAATTGCTATGAGAGATTGTTTGGCAGCCAAGCGAGGCTTGCTGTCAGATCGGCCTGAAACTTTGTTGCTTGCTGACGCTGTTTCAAGGCTGTGCCTTGCTTCAGGTGGGTCCAGAGTCAGTGCCGCGAACTGGCAACCTCAGACGCCTCGGAGGTGGAGCCTCTCCTGAAGCAAGCCATCATGACCCTCAGGGATCGGCCTGTGCTCTACAGATTCTGTGCAGAAGAGCTTGCCGCAGCACTGCATAATGCCCTTTTCCAACGCTTCATTGAAGCATTAACCCGTGGATCACGTCCCATAGAGATGCACTCCGATGACCCCAAGCGGTTCATCAATGACATGCTCGCATGGGTTCACCAAGCCCTGGCCTCAGAGAGGGAGTTGCTGGAGAATCTGTTCGGAGATGACAACTCTGGAGATCTGGGTGGAGTGGGAGTAAGCGAGGCGGGTGAAATCCCAAGTTCGGCCCATCCTGTAACCAGGGATGAGAAAATGCAGAACGAGAGCGTGGTCTCTGTGGAAGAGTTGCTGGACAGCGTGTTCCAGAGCGTGTGCCGTCCCCTGAAGGTCAGGATCGAGCAGGTGCTCATAGCCTCGCCTACTGTGCTACTGTGCTTCGAGCTGTCCCAGCTGCTGGCCTTCTATTTGGAAACGATTGGAGGCCTGGCAGGGCAGCGGTGCCAGATCGTGGCTGTGCTAAGGGGCTGCAAGGAGATGGCCTCTAGGACGTTCCAGGAGCTGTTGAGGGCCAGGTGTGACAAGCTGCTGAGGAATGCACCAGTGGTGCCCCAGGACCTGTCCGCTCCTCAGCAAGTGATGGAGATAGTCGTGCAGGTGAGAGTGGCCCTCCGAACGTTTTTATGCCTCCTGCTGTGTGGCAATCGGATTTTGTTCCACATTCAAAACTGTCACATATGCTGCTTGTGCGAGACACAGGATGCTCTGCACCATTTTTTATGTTTTCTGTTGCCTAGAGATTCCCCAGACTACCTCGTGCTGCTTGAGGTCAGCGTTGATCATTTCACAGCTTTGCATGCCAGATCCTTTTCCCTAAATTTGGCACCTTCATCAACCGCTTCTTACTTCTGTGCACAAGTCCTGTGTGCACGGGGGGCAAAACTATCCCTCAAATGTGCTGGCCGTCGCCTGCCGAATACAATGGCAGTGTCTGTCATGTGCAGCCAAGAGCACAAGGAACTTCACTTACGGCGATGAGTCTGGGGGGCTTGTTGCCCACCCCCTACTCCCACTCCCCCACAGATACGAACATCAATGCAGATGAGAAAGCCAATGTAGGGGTCCCCACTGTTGCAGTGAATGAATGTGCTAATGTTGCCATTGCTCCAGCTGTTTACCTTCTCTATCCCACGATGGTGACAGCAATGTGTTTGTCTGACCATACACAAGTTGAGACGATTGTTCGACAAGCCCAAAGCACCTGTTTCAGCCCGACGATTGGGGATCAAAAACACCCTTCCCAGGTCGCTTCACGTGGGCCACATAAGACATTGCAGTGAGAAGCAATGTTTGTGAACCAGTGACTCCAAATGCTCCCGCTGTCTGAAAAGCCCATAGCTCTGGCCCCTTTTCAGCAATCTGATCCTCTGGTGGTCTGGGGATCAGAGGTGGCGCCCTGGAAGTCATTTCCATTGCTTCTATGGCCAACAGGAAAGGAAATTCTGTTTTTGTTTGCCGACGATGATACATTGAAAGAAGCTTTTCCGCCTGTTGGCTGGCGGGGACAGAAGGATAAGGCTTCCTTGCACTGATGCGCAGACAAGAGTCGATCGGTTTGGTGCGGACGGCCACGCTTTGTCTTGTTGTGAGAAATGCGATGAAAGGAATTCGGTCAGTCACTGAAGACAAACCCGCGGCGGAGAATTGCCGCGCATCGCCCGCCGAGCCGTGTGGGCTCGATCATCCCATTTCGGACAACGCGTCGCTGCCCCGGCTGGCGACTGACGACGAAATAGGGACTTGATGGCTGCCTGCTCGCATCGACAAGTAAGATTTTCTTGATGACGACGACGATTGACGACTGAAACCTGACGACTTCATTGTCGCGGTCTCCCAGCTCGGCGAGGTCGCCGCCGCCCACGGCTCCTCCACCACCGCCTCCCCCGACGAATCCAGCCTGTCCGACGTCGTCTCCTCCACCGTCGACCTGCTGGTGGAGGTGTGCGAGCAGACGTCCGAGGCCCTGTCGCCCGACGCACCCACCCGCGTGGACGAGGCCGCCTCCATGGACCCCGCCGTCCAGCGCTCATTCCTCGTCAACTGCATGGACGCCATCCACGGCTGCTTAGCGGACCACCCCGCCGCCAGGGGCCGCGCCGCGGGGCTGGCAAACGCGATCGAGGGCCATCTCGAGGCGTTGGCGACCGCGGGCGTGGCAAATGTGCTGGCCAGGTGCGGCATCGAAGCCGATCGAGCTGCTATCGACGTATCAATGCAAAGCGGCTTTTTGCTTGTGTTCCCGCTGGCCAACGGACGAAAACGCTTCTTTCAATGCATGGTCAGGTGCGGCATGGCGGAGATCGTCTCGAGGGTGGCCGAGTACGACGCCGCGGAGCCCGGCAGCCGGAAGATGGCGTCGGACCCCGCGCTGGGGCTGTCGCGCGTGAGCTCCGCGATGCGGGCGTTCTTTCTGGACGTGTCGCGGCCGGAGGCGCTGCCGGAGTTCAGAGAGGTGCTGGCGCCGAGGCTGCGGACGGGCGCCGCGGGCCGGGTGGCGGCGGCGCTGGCGGAGGCATACGAGGAGGTGTACAGCGCGGTGGGGAGGGCGGAGAACGGGTACGGGCCGGAGGGGGGCGTGGAGAGGATCCGGCACACGCCCGCACAGGTGCGCACGATCCTGTGCGTGTCCTGAGGCGCGGGGGGCGGATGCCGTGCTAGGGGTCCGCAATGACTCCAGGGGCGGCGCGCGTTTGTTATTCGGTCCCCGGGGACCGGCTGATGAACATGTGGGCGTCCTGGCGCCGGGCCGGACCCCCGCGTCCGAGCCGGGGGATTCGACGCTCTTGTTCGTGTGACGATTGATTGGCTGATAGGAGGGGTCGACGTTGCGGGTGCGGGAGCTGTGGATGGGTGACGCACGCAGCCCCTTGGAGTGCGCTTCGCTTGATTGCAGAGGCAAGATGGAGCACTGCTCTGGACGTCGATCAGGCGATGTCGGGCGAAATTCCATCCACAATGTGCGTTGGAAAGTGTGTATTCAATTCATCCCAGCAAGCATGGGTGGGCGATGCACAACGGCTGAGCACCGCCAGCAATATTCCTGACATTAATGTCCACGAGGCTTGCCATATATCCGCTGACACTGTAGATTCGGGGGTCGGGTTTTCAGTGATTTGTTGCAGGTTTGCATCCGTGCGTCGCAATGGCTGGATGAGGCAGATTGCTTGGTCTGAGATGGGGACCACCTGCATGCTTGCAGCAGAGTGGCACTTGAATTGCGGAGCAGCAGTTTGGGTGGACACCAAAGGCTGATTGTGCACAGAGGTTTTGTACTACAGTGCACATTGGTGCACAAGGTGGCTGCAGCCCCAAGGCTGCCACGGTATTAGAACAACCCGGACAGCACAATTGACTTCAAAGCATAGGCCAATATTTTCTATCGTTTTCTTTCGTCCTGGTAACGAAGGTGAATAACAGTTGCCTTCCGATCTTGAGGCAAAACACATCAGAAACTGATGTTGGGAATAATGTCCGTGCAAGTGTAACGAAACGTCCTTGATCAGTGTGGCCATGACTAGGACAAGGCACACACGTTTTGTATCGGTGGCGCTGATCGATGGAACTCAAGACAGCCAACGAATCCCATCGAGATATGTGCCAGACACAAAGAAAGACTCCTGCTACTGCAATCGACCTCAAGGGGCGCACATGTTGATTCTTCTCCCCATGGTGTGCATTTCGATACCAGCGGACGTTGGAGCAGATGCAACTAGCTCGATTATAAATTCGTATCGTGTCCCGCGGCCATTCCGAATACTCACCTTCTCTGTAGCTGCAAACCCATTAAATATATTCATTCCTTCTTCTCAATATGCTTCAAAACTGCCTTCCCCTCCCTGTTGGCTATCGGTCTCTTTTTGGCTGTGCATGTCACGGGAATCAGCATCAATGAGCTCCTCCACCCGCTCCTTGACGGCTCCATGACTGCAAAGGAAAGTACCATCCGGTTATCCCTCTCGCCACTGCGGTTATCCTCTGAAGAAGCGCCAATGCTCACCTTTCCCAGCAGCTTGCTGCTTTTGAAACGATGTGATCAGTGTTGAGTTTCTGATGGGACAGGTGCACAACGCTTTCGTATTGTCTTGTAAGCCGCGTGGCTGAACGAAAGTATCTGGATGCTGTTTGGCGTCAGTTACAATTCGCCCATCGTTAACTCCCCTTCAATGCCGGGTCGGTGACAGACTCTTTGCGACTGGAGCGTGCTGGGCGCAATAATTTGTGATGCCCACATCCATCTCTAGAATCGCTCCGTTCCGGCGGATTCTGGACAGAGATGGGGAGCAAATAGCAGCTGCAATCGCAGAGTTGGCATTGAAGTAGATGACAGAAATTGCGCACCCCTATTCTGCAAATTTCGGCACCGCAGCTGATATGAATGAAGCGCCGGCGGGCACAATTTAATCGTGCGTAGAATTTGCACAGTTGTGCGAAATTGGCGGACCACATTGCAGGACAAGGTTTCCATATTTTTTAGACCACAGCATGCTGCAGGCGCCACGGTTTGGGTTCCCTCATCCGTGGAGTTTGCACGCCCAATGATGCATCCCCATGGTCACGAGTAGCACCAAAGTGCGCAGTGGAGTGGTTCTTTGCATCGCTGCATCAAGCCCATTTTTGTGTGCATCAACATTCGGTCGGAGCTAATGCCACTGGTGCTAAAGCGTGAAGAGTTCTGGCACCCTGGCCACGCTCGCCATGACCAGGACCACTGTTGCTCATAAGTTACTAATGAATGTGCATTGTCGCAAGGCTGTTTGGCAATGCATCAACAGACTCGTTGCAACAATGGCCATCAATCTTGCATGATCACCGCCCCCATATTGGGACTACGACGAGTTTTTTGTGGGTTATGTTTGGAATGTATTGTGATAGACAGCAAAGATGAAAAGGTGTAGTCAGCTTGCAATTATCTTGCGAATCGGGCGGGAAAATGACCCCCTCAACTATATACAAACGCTGCTTGTGTGTGAGGGGCCCAACCACGGCACGGCCACATTCAAATGGTGCTTTGGCCCAACGGCCAAAGGTCGTTTGAAACACACACCCAGAAGGAGATTGTGGTGCAGTTTTCTCGTGCAGCACGCCACAATAATTACTTGGCGCGGCTGCTACGATAAACCCGCATAGCTTATGTCAGTATACTGTGCTCAAGCAGCGAGATATCTTCATTGTGATCCTAGTTTGTATTCTTGCATCGACGATAAGGGCTTGTCTTTTGTCTGTGTCATTCCCCCCTCAATACTTCCTGCTGACCAGGTCAACAAAACCGCGTTCACATTCTGTGAAAGTCATGCAGAACTTGAGCCATTTGTTGTTCATTTCTGGTACATGACTTTTTTCTAAATGTTTGATCATTTGATTATAATGGCCTCAAATTATGAGTGAGGGCCGTAGGGGGCATAAAAAAAATGAAATCTTATCAATAGGCTAGTCATTAGGGTAAAGGATTAGAGTAAAGCTATGCTATGATGAGGTAAAGGAATATTATGCCTACTATTGGAGGATATGCTATGTGAGGTCCTACAATCAAGTGATGGAGTAGGAATTAAGATTATTGAATGAGAAATTAGAGGTTTGCAAGCATGCCTTTTGATCTCAAAAGTCGCTTTAGTAGGAATAAGATTTGATACAATAGGAGATATGAGGGAATATAGAGACAACTTTAGAATATTCTGGGAATCCATTTATTGTAGAGCTTGGGGGTCGTTGCCTATAAGAGGGGGCCGCCAAGCCATTTCTCAAAGCCTGGCTAGCGCTCCTCTCCACTCCAAGAGCAATCCTCCACCCTCCTTCAAGCTTATCTTCCGAGACCATGGCCCAAGCTCCGGCATTTCCCGGGTTTGCCAATCCAATGATGCAACTCATTTGCATTCATTGGGAGCAAGATGGCCACGTCAACACCCTCCGGGTTTGGGGCCACGCCAGGACGGTGACTGATTCGCTTACCCATGCGAGCCGTGTCGACATCGAGGTCCAACAACAGGTGTTGTTTGGCTTCCCTTACGGCGAGGCAACTTCCCATGAGTTGATGCGCCAGAACCAGAAAAGGAAGCGCGAGGAACAAAAGGAGAGGCGGGAGCTCCGGAGAAGGTGTGAGCTGGAGAATGAGGCTAGAAGGGCGGCTAGAGAAGCACGGGAAGCGCAGGAGGAAGAGCAACGAGGTGTGGAAGCTGCAGAAGGAGATCAACAGGAAGCCGCTGGCGTGATAGTTGATCCTGAGCCGAACTTCATGATGGTGCCGGTTGGGGACAATGAAGGGTATTCAAGGGTCTGATGTGAATGGGGCGCTCCCTTCTTATACCTGAGTGAGAAGGGAATATTCTGAAGCAATTTGGCATATTCGGGTTGAGATGCTTTGAAAATGCTGTTGACTATCCATTGGACAATAATTAGATGGTTATTTTTTGTACATTTGAAGGTGTTTATAGTGCCTTGACATGGTAATTATAAAGGTTTGACTTAGGGTTTACATCATTGGTTAGTAGCGTATTTGTAGTGCTTTAAAACAAGGTGACAGAAGGGAATATGCTGAGCATATTCTTAGGATATC